TTAAGCTTGATTATCTAGAACGAGCTAGGAACATAATTGATCATAGAGGTACATACGTATAAATATATGGAACACATAAATATACGAATACGGCACACATAAGTGAAAAACCTGTTAGAGTTACGAGTGGGCGAATTCGAGCATGCTCAGCTAAGACCTTCACTCATTCATCTCTCTGTCCATGTGAAACAGCAAACACCTCTCTATTAGATTTTGGACCTGCAAATTTCATCACTTGATTTCATGTTGTTTTGGTGGAGCAACAAAACTCGAAGATAAAGCTCGGGGATAGGGATGGACGAATTGCTTGGGCTATTGTGTGTGTCCAATCTTATGAACTTAATGGTATTTATATGGATATAGCAGGGACCTAAGGAGGCATTGATATGAGATTCTTAAGTTATTAAGCCTAATTGTTGGCCGAGCCCACTCCGCTCAAGAACTTAAATAATGTGTCGGTCCACTAACAAAATATTATTGTACTTCCTTATCATCCCGAATTATATTCGAGATTCCAATAATAATTACTCCATTACATTTCCACATTTAATATATAAAATGTCATTTAAAATATAATGTCCATCAATTAATTTGATTACTAACAATCAATAATTAATTGACATCTTGAACGAAAGCTAGTGCCACTCAAATCTGTATTATTATGTTGGAACTCAATTCACCTGTAGGGTTTAACATATTAATTCTTCACGAGCTCACTTCGAGGACATCATCAAACTAACGCATATGGTGACCGTAAATAATTTAACAGCACATCATACACGCAACACTATTACCCAAAACAAAAAGACTATTGACACAGTAGAATGAATCTCGCTTTTAGTGAATTAAAGTAATAGTTATTGTGTGCACATGTCTGTTTATATTTTACGGGTTAAGGGAACGCAATAACTAACCGAAACCTAGTTCAATTACAACTATTAGTATAAAACAAACTGATCTTCTCTAGGATCTTGTTCAATACATAAAATGTACTAGTGCAACTAATTAGTCAAGATCACAGTTCTGATGGTTGGTTCATTTCCATCTAGGTTGTGAACCAATCATTTTTGTTTCGCAATGACTGATAAAATGATCTTATGTCCATCTTGATGTACCATTTTACCTAAATGCAAAACAACAGAACATATAACATGTTTAATCAAACATGATTTTCATTCAACATAAATAGTGTAAATAATATTCAAAGCAAAATTTTCAGTATATACACCAACAATCTCCCACTTTTACTAAAAACTTTTGCTTTTTCAACTGCATGTCTGACCTTCAAGTCGATCTCTCTCTGATCGTCGATCTCACTCCAGACTGTAGGGTAGTATGACATGCAGAGTCATCTCCCCAAAACGATCAAGTGTGAGGTTTTCCCTTTGCCGACCTCTATTGAATTCTAGTGTAGAAAGGATTCCTCTCTAGAACTGATTCCCACCGCCCAAAAAGATAAGCCACTTTCACAAGTTGAATAACTTGTAAAGACACGTGTTGCCATATGTATGTCGCTGGCCTCTAAAAAGATGCCATTTACCCTAAACATATCATATTGTAAAGATTTCCCCTTATAAAAATAACAAAGTCTCGAGGTTGGAATGGAATATTGAATACACATCGAATTCTCTTCTTAGATATCTTGGTGCTTTCTTAATCTTCATAGTCTTCAATGGGCTATTGTATTAAAGAGGTACAGGAGCGGTCCAATACCTCTAAATAAATTATCAATGAAATTTTAATTCCTCGTCTTTTTTACATCTTTGTTGTTCTTCTCTCTATCTTTTTCTCAATAAATCGTATTGAAATACTAAACCACACATAATAGTAACACACCATCTCTTCGATGGTCTAGCTGACGAAACCGAATGTCGACGAGTTTAAATTTAAATATATGTACAATTATTAAAAATGTACGATTGTCTAATCGTTAAGCCCGCTGACGACAACTTAGTGTATTATTTTTTTATTATATATTTTTTTGGTAGCTTGGTTGTTACAAAGTTCTTTAGAGTGTGTTTATTTATAAAAACCCAACCCCGGATTGGCCCTTACGAAATCCGAGCCGGGCCCGGACCCGTGGTCAACGGGTTTGACCGGGTCGAGTCCGGGCCGATTGACCCGTGACCATGTCTATGCAATAACTACTGAAATTGTTAATATTGAAAAAAACCACCCAAATCACAATGTTTGAAAGTTTTAAAAAGTTGTTTAAGAATTCTACTATGGAAAATACTTGGAAAGTCCATACCACCAATGTTTCGAATATCACACCAAATCGGTCGGTATTACCAGTAATAATTGCAGGTGGTCCGATCAATACGATTAACCTCTAAGTATCGGTTTTTGCCAAAATACTTAAATATCGGTAAACTATCGGCTTTATTGACAAATACCGGCTAAAATATCAGTCAAAGTATCGATTTATACTAGACTTGTTTTTTTTAAAAAAAAATATAATTTTAATATATTTTATTAATTTGTTTGTATAAATTGAAAGGTGTACACTTATAATTTTAATATGTTTACATTGTTACTATATTTTAATTAATTTTAATATTTTTTATGTTAGTTTTATAAATTACTTATATTATAATAACAAATTAATTTAATCTATACTAAATTGACCGTAAAATTGATTTAATAGCGTACTGATGACTCGTCCAGTATGATTACCGGTACGATTTTCACTCAACGCTGTCAAAAGTCCAATTTACCCCCCGCCGAATAAAACTGAGAAATGAAGTTTTTAGGTGGGAGGAGAAAACAAGAAAAAAAGAACGCTGACTGACGAAAAAAAAAAAAAAAGAAAAAAAGTTGGATGGCGAGAGAATCATGGACTTGAAACGAGTGATGAGAGAGAGAGAGAGCATTTAATTCAATATTTGAACAGAGGAGCGTGTTTACAGAAATCTGCCATTTTTGCTCCTCCCTCTCTCTTCTCTCTCTCTCTTCCCTCTCTCTCTCTCTCTCTCTCTCTCTCTTTCTCTCTCTCTCTTCCCTCTCTCTCTCTCTCTCTCTCTCTCTCTCTCTCTCTCTCTCTCTCTCTCTCTCTCTCTCTATTCTAGGAGTGTGTGATTCATGTGGGCCTCACTCTCCTCGCTCTGCAAACGTTTTCTTCTTCGTCTGTTTTGATTCCCCCTTTTTCTTTTGCCCTCTTTCTGCGTGCTTTTAATTTGGTGTAACAAACGCATTATTCCACCGTCCAACCAAACCCCTGACCATTTTATTTATTTATTTATTATTATTGCTCTGACCGATCCAATTCATCGTCTCTATCCGCCAATTTTTTTTATCAAATCGGCATTTGCAAGGAAAACCCATTAAACCCTTTTTTAATTTCTCCTCTTATTTGTAATCAAGATTGCATTTTTTTTTTCTTTTCCTCTGCTTTTGTATTTGATGGTCTGATCAGTTCTTTCCTGGCATACCCTTTTAAGGTATGGTGTTCTTGTTTGAATTTAAGGTACGGTGCTTGTCTTCCGACGTAGTGTGTTTTGTGGTATCGGGCTTTATTCGATTGTTATGATCATGGGTTTTGTTTTTTTTTATTTGTTTAGTGTTTTTTTTTTTTTTATTTGAAATTTGAATAGTTGAATGTTTAATTGTGAAAAGCAGGATCAAGAAGGATTTACTTTATTGGATTTTGTTGTGAGTGTTCAACTTTTGATTCTTTTTT